ATCGGTTTTCAATTTTGGTGGGTACCTGCTAAAAAACTTTTTCAACTAAACAGTTAAATGTAGACCCAAATGTCAAGTTGACATATCTCAGTCATGCAATTACGTATTTGAATACAAAAATAAACAATAATTATTTAATTTAATAAATTAAATAATTTGTGTCATAAAAATTAAATGATGCCAATAATAATTAATTTTACTGTTATAATTGGTATTGTGAATTCAAAAAATTGTGTTGTGATAGTTATTGTGATGATAATTTTGTTATATAATAATAAACATGAAAATTCATTGACTATCGTATTTTCTGATTATATACGAATACTAACTACTCGATATTTCAATACTAATTACTTCGAGGAATCGAAGTAACTATGGTTACTTGTAGATCAAAGCTCAATACTCGCATAAAATCTTTCATATTGTCTCGTTATGTATCGAGTATTATTTTTTTAAACGTGGTTAAAGAGATAATCAGAATGTGACAGACAAATATTAAAAAAGCACAAAGTAATTGACAAAATACCACAAAATAATTGGATTGCACATCCCTAATACTTTTCCCATTCAAAAAATTAAATAAGAGAGTGAGAGGTGAGAGCATTAAATAAATTCCTTGTAAAAATCAACAATGATATTCATGCTATATACACTCATTCAATCATCTATTACAGATATTCAACATTCGGAGAGGTATTCTTAAAAGAAGAGAGAAAACTGTCAAATCACTAATAAACGTCTGCCCCCAATTAAAATATTTTTGATTAACATATGTAATTAAATAATTCAATTACAAAAAAAATAACACATTTTAAACAGTTTGGTAGCTCTATGAACAGTAAACACTGGCATGATGCAAATAAAATATTCTGTACGTTAAGCTGTACAACTCTTTTTCCTTTTCCCTTCTTTTGCTTTGATTCTTTTTTTTTACCATTAAAAATTCAAATTGAATACAATGTAAAGTTGAATTCCTGCATAAAATGCGTCGTAGTGCGAATTCTCAATGAAAAAAACCACCTGTGAAGTTTTTATTTATGCTTTCATTGAACACAAAAAAAAAAAAGATATCAGAATTTTTTTTTTGTTTTCTTAAAATATACAAATACACAAATAAAATATGTATGCATGTATGTGTGTATAATAATTTTGTAGTTAATTGTGTTAAGGTGTTTTAAATATTTCGGTGGTTCTTTTTTTATGATTTTTGTGCTCTTTTATTTATCAATAAAACAATTTTTTTTATCAAATGTGCGCGGTTAACAAAAAAAGAAATACATAAAAAAATTTTAAGATAATAAAAATAGTTGGGTCTAGTAAATTTTATTGATTAGATTTTAAAAAATTATTTTTTATTTATAAATTTTTTTTGTTTTTGAATTTCAATGACTTTTTGGCAATGATTATAAAAAAATTTTTTGTGAATTTTTAATAATTTAAAAATACTTAATTTATTGAAAGCGAAATGTCACTGTAATTGAGTGAAACAAACGGGAAATAACTCGAAAGGAAAACAAAATAATTTACGAGATCAATAATGTAGATTTACAGAATTAAAGAGTATAGTTTTTTGAGAGATTTCTTGCCATTGATATTCTCATACTCATGTAGTACTCAATGATTCTACATGTAGCATTGATACTCTCATAGGTATGTAGTACTCAAAATTCAAAAAAAAAATGTACTTAATTATAATTGAAAAAGTATATCGTAGTTGTTGTTTTGACACAGTAATTTGACATTTCATCTGAATTTTCTGCTAATTCACAATAGCATAAAATTTTTGATTTTCTCAATATACAAATTAGGTAAATTTTCAGGTTTAATGACACGATAAGTAGCATAATATGTCTTTTCGCATTTACTTGAAATGGATTTTCTCTAAATGTCCAAATGTGCGAATAATAAAATTTTTAACCAATTTGAATTAACTTAATCGTTATCACTAATACACTTGCGTCACTTCTGCGTCACGTCTTTACATTGAGCGGAATTGAGCAAATAGGTTGAAACTTTGAGAAATTTGTAAACATTGAGTCGAAATTTTATTAATATTGCGATTTAACTGTTAAGTTCAGTTAATATAAAATTTTTAGGTCAGATAATGAATTTATTTTTTATTTACACATCAATTATTGAGATGTGTTGAAAAATATTTCATTTTTATACAGCGCACAACAACTAGTAACAAGAGACAATAATTTTCTCTTAATAATATTTACTTTACCAATTAATAGGTATACTAAGTACTTGAATTCATATGATATACTCGTAAAAAGCAAGATTGTCCGTGATAATTGAAGTTATAAAAAATGAAAACAAAAACAAAAAACAGAGAAGTGAAATTTTTTGTTGTTTTTTGCTTTAAAGTTTAATGACTGGTGGTTATTATTATGGGTGACATAAAATTAACAATGATAATCTTCGAATGCGTTCATAAAAAAATTTTTTATACCTTAAGTACAATACGCGAGTACATACGTGAATATTTGTATTTGTATTTTACGACTCATTTATAAAAATATCAACAATTTTTTTTTTATAATCGAATCTACTTGAGAACTTTAAAAAATGATGATGATTTAAGCACAAAAATATTTTACTTAAATGAAGAAAAACAAAAAAACTTGGAAGTTACACAATTGTGAAAAAATAAAGTAATTATTAAACGATTACGATTGGATTAATAATTGAGTGGTTGGCATTTTCTTTCCTCTTATAAAAATAATAAAATAATAAACACAAACAAAAAACAACGTAAAAAAAAAGAATTAAAGGTAATTTTTATTTTCATTTAAAAGCAAAACTAAAATGTATAATAAATAATTGAAATTTCTGGTTGATACTGCCATTAGTTTTTTTTTAATTGCTTGGAACCTATAAAGTGTTAGTAAAAAACCACTTAACCTTATTATGAAACAGAAATAGTAAAAAATTAAGAGTAAAAAATATTTTAAAAGTGAAATTGTCATTCTCTTATACAATTATGAGTGAGACTGAGAGAATACTGGAGATCTTTGCTGCCTGGAAAAAATTTAGTCTGTTTTTGTTCTGTGCCCTATTTATGAGAGATATTAATATTACCGTTTATAACTGTTATACATAAATATGTAATTTTAATACCGAATATATTGAGCCATTCGCACTGATTTACCGAAAATACCCCATATATACTTATACATATGGGATAATACATTTACTATTATTTTCAATTACATCAACAATTGATTATTAATAAGTGATTATTAATAATTGTTCCATTTAACATAGTTACTTATACTTGTATTCAATAATGTAATCAGAAACATTTCTCAATTTCATTTTTAATTTCTAAAATACTCTAGTACTTGTAATAACTATAAAATTTATTGGTTTATTTTCATAATTACTTTTAAATTTCATAAATTAAAATATCAATGTTATGAGATAATTTTTAAAAAATATTAATAGTTGAATTAATATTGTTCATTAAATTGAATAAGTAGTTAAAAATGAATTTCTGTTTAATTTAAGTAATTTATAAAAAAATTTAATTAAAATAATAATTAAGGTACTGAATTTAATTAACAAGTACTTATGAATATATAATAAAGTACTTATTAACGAAAATTAATAAACAGGTAAAACACAAGTAAAAAAATATGAGAGTAATAAAATAAGACCTTTTTTTTTTTAGGAAATTTAATACTAATATAAAATGAGGAAATTTTTTGAGTACTTATACACAAAAAATTTTAAATTAGTTCTATTACTTATATAGGTAAACAAATCTGTGGCTTTAAGGAATAACTCATTAAAATCACAGTCTTTATATTTATTTTTACTCTTAATTTATTTATGGATTCAGAATCTAATACGTTACACGAGCTAAATTTTGACAGATTACGTTATATATCAATAATATAAAGTACTAAAAACTCCGACTTAAGTAGTTATTATTTACAACCACAGAAATACTTATTCAAATAAAGTCTACATACGTATACAATTAAAATAGAATAATGGAAATAGAGGAATGTTTTTTTTATTTTTTGTTGTTTAAATCAAAATATTTGAAAAATTCTATCTGACTGTATCTAGTATAGATAACGAACTTGTTCTATTTTTTTTTTTTTTCAAATTTATTTTAAATTTATAAAGTATATATAAAAATTTAGATACCAATTGGAAATTACTTAAAAAATACCTTTATTCTTTTCAAATTATTTATGTATTCAATTATTATGCCATTAGGAAAATTAATAATTATTTAAAGTAATGAGTAGATAAAATTGACTGGAATGTAAGTTTTGAGTAGCATGTTACGAGTATGAGCTGATAAATTTCATTATTATTATTGATATTATGTTGGTACATTAATGGTTGTCTAACAATTATGCGTATGCATGTTAGAACTATAATGTTTTTTATATTTTGAATATCTTATTTTGAAATTAATTGAAAAAGCATGACGTTATTGACGTTTAATTTTTGTTTTAGTGTACTTAATTATAATCAAATAAGTTGGAAACCTTTATTCTCTCTCTATATTTCAAAATTAAAATTATCATTTTCTTAATCAGATTTGCCAGTTTTGAAATGTTTACAAAACTACCTGAATTTTCTGTAAGCATATTATGTAACTCAGTGACATTTTTGAGTAAAATGAAATACGTACTTATTATAAAAAAAATTCTCACACGGAAATTACTCACTCATACTCTCTTCTCATACGATAAGTACAAAATCCTATTCCTCTCAATAGGAAATTTTCTATCACCTACAAGATTTCTTATTGAGAGGTTATTTTTCCTATTTTAATGGTTTCCTAATATTATTAATTAAAATAATGAATAACAATTAAATGAAAGAATAAAATAACTAGAATTTTACTTTTAAAAACGTGAAAATAATCTAAGCACCACATGAATTTGGTGGAGAAATGTCACAATACAAAATATATTTTCATTAAAATCTTATTAAAATTTATAAAAAATCAATGAACGCAAAAAAATTCTTACCAATTCACTTGGGCTTTGTCTTAATCCATTTGATATTCCTCTTACATTACTGTTATTGTTATTATTATTATAATTATTATTATACATTACATTATTATTATTATTTCTAGATTTCATAGCTGTTACAACACTTGCATTATTATTATTGCTATTATTATTATTATTATTATTATTACTAATAATATTATTATTGCTACTACCACGTATTGGTGGTGGTGGTGCAATACCTAAACTTCTTGCTGGTCTACCATTATTACTGTATTCATAATCATAATTATTAGGTGTATCATACATTGATGCTGGTCTTGGTCTATTAATATTAACATTATTATTATTACCAATTCTATCAATAGAATGTTCTCTATCTCTTAAATATCTTCTATTATTATTATCAAGTTGATCTAATGACATATGTGATGCATATGGTGATGGTGGTGATAAACGTCCACCAATACCTCCACTTATAACATTACCAACACCACCAACACCACCACCGATATTATTATTATTTAAATTACGTGTTGATGATGATATATTATCATGTTTTTGTGACCATCTTAAATTACTTGATGCATGATTTGGATGTGGTAAAGAATATGAACTCCTTTGACCTGGTACATTCCATTTACTTGTACTACTTGGTGGTGGTGGATATTGATGATGATAAACAATTGGATTTGGACCAGATGATGCAATTGTTGTTAAATTACTTGAATTATGATCACGCCACATTTTTATAAGAAAAATTTTTTTGTTTTGTTGGGTTTTCTCAGTACAATTGGTAAAAGTGGTAATTTATTGGTTTAATTCGAGAAAATTGAAAGTAATTGTTGTTATAGTCTCAATTTTTTTAATTGTAATTTTTATAATTTATTTAATAATTATAATTAAAAAAAAAATGAAAATTTTTTTTTTGAAATTTTTGAGTTTTTTTTAAGTGTAATGACTAGAAATTAAACCTTAAAAATTTACTACTTATATTTTTTGTTTTTGAATTTTATGAAAGTTTTCTCTTTTGTTTTTTTTTTACATGTATGGGTGCTTCTCTTTTATTTCGATTTCATTTGCACTTCTTTTTAGTGTTATGGCACAATAAATACTTTTTAATAATTTTAACATTATTTTTAAATCGTAAAAATTTATTAATAAGAGAGAAATGTTTTTTTTGAAAGAAATTGTTATACAAGCCTAAAAATAATAAAGAAAATTGTTTTTTTAAATTAATTAAATTTTAAAACTTAAAGCCTTTAAGGCAGTCTTTAACACTAAAAACATATGTAATGGGTTTTTCAGCTCATATTCAGCTCAATATAACACTTAAGTTAATAATGACATTTAAGTATCTAGTTGTTATGTAATTTATTCACAGGAATTAATTAAATTCAACGGTTTTTCTCTTTTGCAGACAATAAATTATTCAAATGCATAGCCTATCTGTCATTGCAGGTTACATTTAAGAATATTTCTCAAATTTGTTGATAATTGATATCAAATAAATGAGTTAAAATAATGTGAGAGACCACTTCTCTGAGAATTAGTTCCGAAAATAAGTACTCATTATTGAAACAATTCACAATTGAATTAACATTTTCTTCTGAATTTCTCTATATTTACATATTTGAGATAAATTGAGCATTAGTAGAATTTTATTTTTAAAAAAAGTTGTCAGATTCGGTAATTGAATTACTACTTTTAACACACCTTCAAATTTTTAAATTATAATTAAATAACATTTGGCACTCATTACATACTTATATTACAAATGTGAATTTGATTGTTGAAAAAACTCTATATAACTAACTACTTAAAATATGTTACTCTCCTATATGAAAATGGCATAAAAACCCTATAAAAATGAATTATTCGCGCTCTTTAACTTTTGATTGCTTCTGTTATTAAAAATTGTAGAAATTCTTGAACTTTTTTTAGACCATTTCTCATTTTTCATTACTATGTATACGAATATATGATGTAATAATCAAAATAACAAAAAAATAAAAAATCTTAATGTAGAGTTTCCACAAAAAAAAAAATTTTTTAATGATCAAATCAAGGTCAATAAATTTAATTTTAGTCAAAAGTTAAAATAAGCAAAAAGAGCATAAACTCAAACAAAAACAAAAAAAAAAAACAAGTCGGAGAGTTCTTTATGACATTTTGCCGATAGTGTGTGTGGAATGTGTGTAAATTGAAAAGCAATAAAAAAGAGAAGAAAAATATTAATAAATTAAATTTTTTTTCTTATTTTTGCTGGGACATTGGAAAACTTTTAAAATAATTTTTATAATGAAGGACATGAAATTTTTTTGTGTTTTTGTCTCTTCCCCCTTGGAAATAATTTCTGTTTTCTTATTATAATTAGTAAATTTAATGTAGAATTTCTATTCCGATTGAAGGTTCATGGATTCACACATGTTAAAAGAAATAGATTCTTTCCGTTCTATGTTCTTCGAGATCTAAGGGTGTAAATGTTCATAGATATTTATTAAATTATAAACACCTAACTTATATATGATTATTTTCTGTCATATTTATTGAAAGAATAAATATTTTAAATATTTCAAAAAAATTTAATTTACATTTCTAACACCAGATGGTTTTTAATTCCAATGAATGACAATTTTTCTTAAATTTTTATATTGAGTGACTTATGGTTCATTTAATACATATAAAAAAAATCATCATCGAGTGATCGCACTAAAATTCATTCAAATTGAATTTAATAAAAATTTTTACGGTTTTTGAGCAAATTATACTTGCTCAAAATTGTATTTATGCACTTGTACAAGAAAATATTTAATTATTTTAATTATTGCTACATTTGTTTTTCAATTAAACACGTTTCTTGAACTTTTATGTAAATAAATCGAAGATAATTAAAAGAAAAGTGAATGTAAAATTTCATTTCTTAGTGAAGTAATTATAGAAATAACGAACAATAATTGCAACGAATTGATTAATGTGTGCGACGAGTGTACAATTGTGAACGATTAAGGTCAGATATTTAAATAAATAATAGAGATTAAAAATTTGTCATTAATATCTTTCATTTTTCTCTGAATTTACAGAGCTTTGAGAATTTAAATTTTAATTTATATCCTTCTCCTGAATCTTGATTATAAAATTGTTCTCATGATAAAAACAATTGAATGAGAGATAATATATGTTTATAAATTGTACTTCATTTTAACGACAGCTCGACTTTGGGGTGAGAATTTAATCTCAGTAAGTGAGTGTCTTAAGTTTTGTTCAAGTAATTTATTCAACATAAAGAAGTAGTAATTATAACAATTTTTTAATTGAGATTATTGAGAATAATAATTTCAGTTCTATTAATATATTCATATGTATAATAATTTATATAAATATAAATCTTGTAAAACATCTACAAATTTTATATATGTAGCACATACTGTTGTTTGCCTGTGAATTTTAAATAACTATTTCATTTGATATTTTTAAATTGAAATATAATAACTTATATAAATTCAAAATATCATTACTATTAATTTATAATAATTAATTTTTAATTTAATGTATTTTGTATATAAGTACGTTATTTCTACAAAAATATTTGATTTATTTAAAAAATTATAATTAAATTTTAGTTATTCTTTCAATCAATCAATATTTTTTTGTATAACATTTGTAATAAATGTTCTATTCTAAAATAGTTTACAGTTTTAAATTGTTCTCAACTGGCTAAAACTGGATAATTTATAATTAAATATTAAGTATGTAATTATATATTATATATACATATACATATTTTCCTGTTAATGAATTATTTTAATTCCTATGAAATAATTTTTGTAAAATTATTTAGAAAATAATAAAATAAATTGATTAATTGATTTAAATTTTTTCTATGAACTAAGTATTTGTTATACAAGTAAATGAGTACCGTAAAATATTATTAATATAGCATTTTGTTAAATAATTTATTTTATAATTTTTCATAAGTCTTAAACTGAAATTAATTAATCAGTAATTTTTTGAATATTTTATTATAATAATTAAGGCGTTTTTTAATTGATTTTTATTTAAAAATCCTGGAAAATATTATTTTATTAAAAAATAATTAAAATTTTTTTAGAATAGGATAGCAGCTATGTATACTTAAATTTGTAATAATTTTGCCTCTAATTCAAGAATTTTTTGTCCAACTTAATAATGGGTAAACTTAACAGGTGATGAAATGAGCTAAAATAAAAGCTTACAAGGAACAAGGGTTATTAAACTCCAAAATTTCTTCGAAACTTGGCAGATCTGTATCAATTGTACGAAATGTATTTATTTTAAATTTTTCCTCTCAAAATTAATATATTATTAAAATTGAGCAATTATATTATTTTTTAGTTATAAAATTTTAATAATGATTTTTTTTATTATTTTATTATTTTAAATATCAATTTTACTATTGTAAATTTATTGTTCAATATACAAAAATTTTAAGGTTAACAATATTCACAATCTTATTGTTTTGTTTTGTCATTAAAGTATTGCCGTTTTTGTTAAAAGAAAGCCGTGTGATATAATAAAAATTTCTTTTGTCACTTGAAAAATGTAAGTATAACAATAAATTTTATTCAAAATTTTAAATTTATTTAAATCTCTTTTAAAATCACAATAACTTGGAAAATAATAATAGATATTTATTTTTTTTTTTAATTCAGTGAAAGAAATTTCACACAAATACAGTTAAAAACTCTTTCTTTATTTCGCTTACTATAAGGTATAACTATTATGCTTAGTAGATATTAAAATTTCCATTTGAATTAATATAACAATTTTAGATTTATTTTATTTTATAGGTACATACATACATATGGATTAAGTATAATTTTCAATTTTAAATAATTATGTCAAAGAAAATGTAAATTTATTGTAATAATTTTTTTGCTTTGCACTTTTTTTTTAGAAATTTAGATCGTAAATCATATAGAAACAATATAAATCTAAATAATAAATACAGAAAAAAAATAATAATAATAATTAATAATGATCATAAAATAACGGTATAATACATTTCTCTATTTTTTTCTTATTATTTGTTCGTTTTCTATTTTTATGTCATATGCACAGAGAAAAAAATACAACAGTATTTACACTAATTTTAAAAAAAATTGCAATAAATATTTTAATAAATTAATGTTTTTAAAATAAAATTTAAACAGGTATATGAATGTATAACAAGTTATGTAGATATGTATAACATGTTATATTTAAAATAAACAATAAATAAAAAAAGAAATCAATAAAATAAACAGAAACAAAAATTCAAATATTTGTGCAATGTCGCCAAAATTATAACAATATTTTTAGTATGCATAAATGTATAACTGTTTTAACATACTGTCACATAATATTATTTGTTACTGTTTATTTATAAATTGTATAACAATAACATAACAGTTATATTTTTTTTCTTTTAATAATATTCTCAAGATATTTTCACACTTTATTTCTTCATTCCATTCGACTTATGTATTGCATAAGCATATTTAATTTATGCAACATTTACATATGTAGTTTTAAGCCTTTAAATATAGTTTTAATTTCATATTAAATTCAATTTTAATGTTATTTACTCGTATATCGTAACAATTAGGAATTATATATTATATGCATAGGATAACAATGGTATATATGAATGCAAAAATTATGCATTGAATACTATAAATTGCAGTGACAACATTTTTATATAATTTACACTTTATTTGCAGTACAAACAATGGTAACACTTTGTATTTTTTTGACATAATAAGAAAAATGAAATTTTTCGATTTATTTACCACGATACTGTCAACTAAATTATAAAAAAAACAATAACCGAAATAAAATACTGTATGTAATGTTTGAACGTTTATTTATGCACATATGAAATTGTTATACGTATACATGTTTTAAAAACTGGGTGCGGCAACATATTAAATTTTTTCATAATTTATTTATTTATTCTTTAATATATAAAAAAAAAATTGTAATTTAATTTAAATGAACTGCTAATAAGGTATCAAATTACACAAATATTTTTGCAATTCTAATTCTAAAATCATGTATAATTTAATAAGTAAATATAACAATTCTATAAATTAGAATAATAATGATTAATAATTTAATTTATAATAAATTTTATGTATGAATGCGCAAGAGAAAATTATCACTTCGTAATTTGTGTATATTTTTTATTATATATTAATTTAAAAATATAAAAAAAAATACGATATAATCACTAAATAAATCTTAAAATATAAGAGTTTGTAGGTACCTTCTTATTAACAAAAAATAAATAATTTAAATATTACGGTATTTAGATTGTAAGTACGATCGTACACATATCGTATGTGCGTATTGTTTTTTAACGTAACATCATTTCAAAATTAGCAGACATACGATAACTGTAGCAGCTTACGATTCGACACATACACAGTTTTATGCGCGTTCGATTGTTTTCGAGTATACTTAATTTTTCTTTTTTAAAAATAATTTTAAAATTATTTTTTTTTATATTTAAAATATAAAAGTTAAACTTAAATTATTTTTACAAATTTTCGAAAAAAAATTTCAAACGAAAAATTATTAATATTTTTTTTTTTCATAAAAATTAAAATTTTTTTTTTATTTTACTTTTGAATATTTTTATAAACAGATTTTTTTTTTTTTAAAGAATTTATAAACAAAAAAAAAAAAACAAAAATTCCACAAATTTTTCTGTTTGGTTTCTGGTTTTTTTTGTTTTTGCTCTAACTTGCAAAATTCATAAAAAAAAATACACATAAAATTAATTAATTTCAAAATTTTTAATATTATCTCGACTCTCGATATATTTTGACACTTCCCGCAGAAGTGTGATAGGGGGAGGGAGAAAACACACAGAAAAACAAAATGTAAGTAAATATTTAAGAAAAAAAAAACAAGTGACAAAAAAATTAAAAGCACAAAACACAATATTTAATGAATATTTGACAAGATAAATTAAAAAACAAAAAAAAATTAAAACAAAATTTTTGTCTTCAAATAATAATAAAAGCGCGCTAAAATATACGCGACACCGTATATCCGAAAAAAAAAAATACAATTAACAATATTCTTAAGCGATCCAATACAGCGTAAGCTCGGTAATAAACTGAGCGCGGGAGCATAACTTTAACTATTTTTTAGCTTTTCCTTTTCTTGTTTTTTTTTTTTTTTAGTTTCTTGTTTCATTTTTTTTTTGTATGTTTATTATTATCAAAATGTATGTAATGGAATACGAGGGTTAAATGAGTAGATAATATTAGTAAATTTTGATTTTGGAGTAATGTAAAAATAATTGAAATTGGTTTATTCTCATCAGACTTACTGTCAGATAGATCAGATCGGAATCAAATAATTTCGGTCTGATATGTAAACAATCATTAGATGTTATCTACGATTTAATTTTAAATTTTATTGTGTTTGTAAACAGTACCTTAAAAACGTTAACAATTATTTCTATATACTCTTACAAATTATTCTTGCTTAGAATCAGATACAAAGCCAAACTAACCATGTCCGTTTGCCGATCTCATTCAGAACATCTCATTCACAAACAGAAAGAAGTAGAGAGAAATATTTATTTTTATAAAATTACATTCATTATTGATTATTACCAACAACATTAAATTAATTTTAAATATAAAAAAAAAAATAAATATTTTGAATGTTCAAATGACATTTTCTTAAACGTCAAATGAGTTGGCATTCTAATAAATTAAAAATATTTTTTTAACAGCAAAATTTTATCACATTTTTTTTTCCGAAATTTCCAAACATTTAAAATTATTTACGATATTGATAAAACAAACCTGAAATTCTTGAATTTCTATTGTTTTAGAGAATTAACATTATTAATTGTCATTACACTTACTCATTATCATTACTTTTGTCATTATTTTTGTACTCAAACTTGTTACTCACCTAAAACGACAAGAAATAGAGAAAAAGCAAAAATTAATTAAATGTATTTTATTTTTATTTATAAATTTTAATAAAAATTTTCAAATTAATTTGCATGTATAATAAAAAGATTAATATTTTAAATAGATATCCAAATTTTCAAATACACCTCGTAATTCCGCTCCAATATACAACATTTAAAAAAAAACTCAACCAAAAAGCAACATCTTTTCAGTAAGTTTGAACGAATGAAATGTATTTTTTTTAGTTTTTGAGATTTTCCTTTATTTTTACATTTCAGTTAAAAAAAAAATTACAAGAGAATTATTGTGGAGCTGGAGAGTTTAGAGTTAAGATCAAAATAACAACAGCATAATAATATATGCATACATAAATATAACAAATTTAAATATATGTATATGTACAACACATACTCATGTACTGCTATGTGTTATACATTTATACCAAAAGTTATAAATGTAATAGGCTTGTATTTTGTAGGCCTGCATACAAAATGCATATTGTTTGCTTGAATGTTATATAAATGTTATATATACATAAAGAGAGCAAAGAGCCGAGATCCAGCCATGAGCCAATTGTGTTATTTTTTTTGCTAACAAAAATATTAAAACAAAACAAATACCTGTGTGAGTCATTTTTTGTTTTTGTTGTTATGTTTTTTGTTTTTGTTATATTTTTAATCTTACGTGTGTTGCACACAACAAATCGTTCAGTTTCAGTTCAGTTTTAATTCAGTTTTGTTTCATTTTTTTTTTTTGATATTTTTATTTCATTATAAAATAGTGGATTTGAATTTCTGTTGTTGCTGCTTTTGTATGTATTGTGTATATGCACGTATACTAAATTTTATATAACAATATATATATGCATGTACATTTATTTACATATGCACATACAATATCAATTTAAAAAGTTTTATATTAACTTCATGCACGTATGTATATATGAATATATTATAATAGTTTTAATATTAAGGTATTAAAGATTATAAATTTTAATATTTTGCTGAGTGTGGTGAGTCTAAAAAACCATTGAGCTGTTGAACAGCGCAAAAAAAGAATTCATTTCAAAACTGAATAGTGAAGTTTTTTTTTTGGCTTAGTTCATTTTGGTTTTTTTTTTAGAGATTTCCGATTTTTCTATCTTTTTCTTTTTTGTTTTGAATATTTTCTTTAAATAATTCAAAAAATTAAGACTTTTTTTTTTCTGTGTTAAATTTTATTTAATTTTTTTTTTTTGATTTTTGAAATTGGAATTGTTGAGAATTGTTCATAGATAATAGTGTACGTTTCTTTATGTATAAGTATGTTTGTATACAAAAAATACTGTCCTCTCTTGCATTCTTGTTTGTTAGTTGTTTGTTACCATTGCTTTTTGAATGCTCTTCTCTTCTGAGACTTTTATTAATAATACACAATAGAAATTTTTAAGCATATAATTTAAAATTCAGTTAGTCCAAATTTAGTACATTTTGCAGCCACTTGAATATGTCAAAAATGATAATTAGCCACATACATTTACACATACATGCATTGTAATCGTTCAAAATATGCTGTACATACAATGTTATTCTTCTTAATAAATTCAAATTTGATTATTAAATTAAATGTTTTTAAAACAGTGTTAAATTTAGTTCGCCTAATTAGTTTCATGGTTAAAATTTTTTGCTTTTAACAAAAATGACATTTTAATAAGTGTAGTTCAATTCACAATCAAACCAATTCACTAAAAGTGAAATATACTAAAACAAAAGAGGCACAGCAAAAGTCTTTCAATTAATACTCTCACTTTTTTTCACATTGGCTACTATGTACTTTACTGCCGCAAAAATGTGAGTAACTCTTAAAATTACTCTCTTGTTTCTCAAATCCAGTGACACTTTTTTGACAGTACAATAAGTAAATTCAAAAGTCTAATTTTGAAAGTGGAAAATGCTAAAATATTCGACCGTAAAAAAAGTTCTTCAACTTGGTAACGTACGAGTATGTATGTACATATTTTCTAATTCATAATTTCAATTTTGTATGTTACTTTTGATTTTTGAATTTTTTCCGTCTTCTCTCTATTCTTCTCCCTCTTCATCGGTCCAATATGTTGTACAATAGTATTAGGCTATATAATTGTATAATTAGATGTTGCCTTATCGAAACATCAATGTAAGCTTAAAAGTTTCTTATGCTTTTTTATGCTTCATCATAAAAGTTTTCTTTTTTTTTGGGTTTATTGTTTTTTTTTTTTTTGGCTATATCTTTCTGGTAATAATAAAGATAAAGCATCTTTGAATTGGATTTAAATTTATGTTTAGTGTTGTAATTTTTCTGTTAATTTTGCCGATCTTTCAATTTCAATTTCTAAGTAACAAAAAAAAAAAATTACATAAAAACATAATAATAGAAATGGTATACATAAAATATTAAAATAGTATGTATGTATGTATGTATGTAAATGAATAGGATTTTTAGTTTTCTCTATTTGTTTTAAAATAAGAAGAAAAGAAGATGAAAACGAAATTGTAAATAAGTACTAAACTCCTAATTTCTTCTTTTCTAATTTTAATTTTACTCTTCTTGAGTTAGTAACACTTGTATACATATACAATTTCACATAATAGAGCGCTGCAGTATGTAGTATACTACATGCACTATACTATACATAATATAGCGTGCAATACTATTAAATAAATTACAGTAATTTCGGATAAATTTTGACAGCGCGTCTGTAAACTTATTAATATTATTACAACTAATTCTATTTGCTATATGATATGACGGCAGTAGAGGGTAAAGTTCTTTAATTTAAAATTCATTATGCAGTTGTATGAAAAATTATGTTTTTCGCTCAAAAAAAAAAACTTTCGCTGAGATTTCACAAAAAAGTTGAGTGTTGACACCTCACTCTGCAAATTAGACTATCGGTCCAATTTTCTATAGAAAAATCTCGCGAAATTATTTTGTTATTGCGTGTTTGCTTGTGATTTGTCTATGATTTCAATTTCAATTACAAACCAAATTTTCGAGAAATTTGTTCTCATAAATATGCAATACATTTATGTGCATATGTTTTTTTTTATGTATAACGCCTAAATTTATGCAACAGTATTTCTTTTCAAATAATTTTTCGTAGTATCAGGCAATATTCTAACAAATTGTTGGTAATAATGTAATTCAACACATTTTCCGTCTTGAGTTTCTTGACAGACAGATTGTTGTTCTGATGTTTATAAACTTTGTCTCTACACAATATCGATAGCGTCGAAACATTGGGTACGAAACATTTTTACTAAAATGTAGTTTTTACCTGATTTGGAGAAATTTTAATTTTTTTTCTGTTTTCTTTACTATTAAAAAAAAAAAAACAAATTTTTGTTATTTTTGATTGAATGTGAAAATACTTATGAAAAACGAAATAAAAAAAAATTAAAAATAACACTTTAATTTCAAGGTATTTTATTCGCAATTTACCTGAAAAGAATGAATATGAACCCGTTATATGAATTTCTATACCCAAACAAAACAGACACCAAAAAAAAGAAGCAAAAATAAAAATTACTATAAATTTGTGTAAAAAAAGGTTTACGGAGGTATTCTGTGTATAAGTGTACCTTAGGTACTTTTTACAAATATAAGTTTTTAAGTAAC